AAACAATAACTGCTTTGTCCTCATGCTGAGCTCTGATTGGTGGTTCATGCTGCTTCCTGGGAACTGTGTGCGTCCTGATTGGTCCGAGGCTCTGAATCCAGGTCAGCTGGCCGACCTTGCACAGTGTCAGTGAATTGTTAACTCTGGCACCAGTGGACCATTTGATCAGCGTATTTACAGTAATAACCGCACACTGACAGCCTCCTGTTTACCTCAATAACTGAGTTCAATCAGAGCCGCTGTCATTATGTAACTCTGAGCGGTTTGTTCACACTCACACTGAAGGTGAGCTTCAGGTGAAGTGTACAGAACAAGTCACAGGTGGAAACATGACGCTGACTCAGCTGTTTGCAGGAAAACAGAAAGAAGAGGCAGATAGTTCTTCAGAAAACGCTCATATCCTCTGAGTCTCTCAATTTGCAGAGTCTCCGCAAATTGTTGCACCAATGCAGCCACACACATCTTTGCTGTCCTGAAGGACTGGAGGCTGTTTCAGCTTGGACGTCCATTTTTTAGTTGTGTTGCAAACAAGCAAAGAAACTACCTATGGGGGGAAATGGCATCCTTAAAATATGAATTAGAGTAGATAATTCACAGAGGTCAGCCCTGTCTATTCAGATGTTTTAATTCCAGACAGATTATCTGGGTTGAAGCTGCAATGCATCCTGGGAATTGTGTGTGGAGGGAAAAAAAGTCTCAATCACTGACATACTGCCGTTAGAGTCGGTGAGAGTTTTTGTGAATCACACGGAGACATAACAAGTTATTGTGAGTCAACCTCACAGCTGCACTCTGTGACTCTGCAGCTGTGCAGCGAGGCTTCAGAGGAAGCTGTGCACGTCCGTTTATCATCTTTGTGATGAGGGCTTCTTTGTGGAAATGAGCCTCGATGTTATCTGCGTGCAATTAAAGATTATTCCTGAAGATCGATTTCGGACTGGCCTTCAATCTCCATGCCTGAGAGTGTTTCCAGATCTCAGGACAGACGATGGATCCTCTCAGCTTGGACTGATAGTTTCAGATTTATTGTGGTCAGGTCCCTGGAATCAGTTTCTTGTTCACAGCTGCTGTAGTTTTTTCCTAGTATGACTTTATATGTTATTTTACGTGCAGATTTAGCCGGTGATTTGAGAGTCTGACTGATGAGCGCTGCAGTGGACAGTAGAGATTAAGATAGTTTACCCTTCTCTTTGCTCTCCCTCTTAAGTCCATCCACAAACTTCTACTGGTCCAGAACTCTGCTGCTCCCATCATCTCCAGCACCCCCTCCATCAATCACATCCCTCCAGTCCTTCAGGATCTTCATCGACTAAATATCCACTTCAAGAGTCTGCCTGTCACCTTTAAGGTCGCCCATAACCTCGCTGCTCTGCACCTCTCTGAACTCCTGCATCAACACATCAACACACTGACCTTTGGACTGTTTTCCTGCACACCACCAAAGATTTGACTCGACAATTATTTGAATTTAAAAATACTTTAAACAGAAACAAGAACAGTGAATAACAAAGATCATAAAGAAATGAGAAAAATCACTTTCTTCTGTTAACGACCTAAAACAAAATCATGAGAGGAAAGTCTTCTTTGGATGGAAACATTTTATTCTTTCCTGCTTTTTACTAAAATAAAAACGTACTCGAAGGCCGGGCAGTGGAGTCTGAGCTAAAACCTTCAAACATTTAAAAACACAGAGACCTCATCTTAAAAAAATGAGACACTTGTGTAAATGTTTCCATGGTCTTACTTTTTGGACCTCTGAAATTTTTGAAGAACAAACAGCCTGCAGAAGCGTCAGTCAAAACACGAACACTGTTGATACAGAAAACTGGGAGGGTGTTTGTGTGTGCGAGAGAGAAAGAGAGAGCGAGAGAAGGAGAGGACACTTGACAGGGGGGGCTTTGTGTTATGCAACAGCCGTTAAGCCCCGCCTTCTTCTGCTGACCAATCTGATCCCGTCCTCCTCAGTGTTCACACGAGGCCTCTGCAGCCCTCACCCCCCCCCCCCCCCACACACACACACACACACACACACACACACACACACACACACACACACACACACACACACAAAGCGGAGCAGTGGGCCTTTAGCGGGTCAGCATCCTCTCATCCCATTGGAGGCATGTATGCTGCTTCCTATTGGGTACCAAGCCTGTATCACCACCATCATCATCATCTTCTTCGTCATGGTGTGTCACATGTGCAGCAGAGAACAACATGTTCATATATATGTAACATCGGTCTGTATGAAAGAGGAGTGACTTTGATTGGAGGGCCACACATTTTATTTCCTGATTTACGTCGATTCATCCCAGAAAATATTTCTTTGATTTAATTTGAGCGTTTTTTTAATCACTGAATGTGATATATTTTTGAAGGTGTAATTCCCAGATGTGATATAATGAACTGGAATCATCTTTTACCCTCTGAAGTCAAGTTTTCAGGTCAATGTAATCGAGTATTTATTTCGCAGATAGAGTTTAATGTTTCACACCCGACATATGAACTCAGATATCGTTACTGTAAAGTTGAAGTTGAAGTCATGGTCGTTAATGGTTCTTTTAAATGAGTTTGATTTTTTTCTAGTGGATAGAAGCCAGAGAGAGAGTGGGGAGTGGCAGGTCAGATTTGAACCATTGACTCTAAATATGAATTTTCAAGAAGCCTGAGTGACGTCACCCGTCTGTTCCTGCAGGGGGCGCTGGAGTCTAATCGATGACGGTCTCCATGCTGGAAATGCTGTCTCAGTCTAACTTTCAGTCAACCTAACGACAGGCTGAGAGCTGGAGCTGAGGTGGGTTTTAAGCCTTCTGACAAACCGTTACACCGCGCCCACCTGTCAATCAGGTCAGCTACACGCCTTATTGTGAATAACTCTTATTCTTCATCAAATCAAAACAGATGAGTCATCAAAACATTCACCCCCCGTACAGTGTGTGTCGATCGAGACATGAGCTAATCAGACCTGTTTGTTTTTTTGAACCAGGCTGTAAACATGTTAATCTCTGCTGTAAAAACAGACTTTTTAGAATGGGTGTGTATGTGACTTCCTGTGCTTCTGCAGCCAGCCTCTAGTGGACACTCGAGGAACTGCAGGATTTTGGCTTAATTTTTCAGCACCGGAGGTCGCCGCTGGATTTGTACCCGGGCTGTCTACAGAAGAAGAGGAGAGGAGGAGCGCCTCTATGCATAGTACCTTATCTCTTCTCACAGACCTCCTTCTTTTCCTCTCTGACCCAGTGACCGTTGAACCTATTAAAAGAAAAACTGAAAAACATAATCTGACCTGATCGGAGATAGGAACACAAACCACAATGTGACCGGAGGATAGCGAGGGAGTAAAACTTCTCCCTCTCTTGTGTAAGGAGACGAGGCTGAAGAGGACACATTCCAACAATAACGTGAAGTAGATTTCATTTTCCAGGGCCTGTGGTCATGCTAATCTGTGCAATGCCCAAGAGGGATTCATAAAGAACTTTAATTGATTGATTGCTTTCCCGCTTGATTGATTAGGTCGCTTGCTGCATTGGCGCGAGAATGTTCCCCCCCTAAAAAAGTGATCCATGCATGATTTTTAACTACTTGATGACAGAGATAAACGAGCCTCACATCATGCGTCCTCTGACAGATTATTTGATCAAAGTTCGACAGATTCCTGAGATATTTATGGAACACAATGTGGGTCAGATTATTAACATGCGTGAGGCTGCAGGCTGGACGAAGTGCAGCGACTGAGCACTGATAAATACTTAATCTAATACAGTCACCTGGAGGATTATGAGAGTTTAATTGGACAGAGGAAAGTCCACCAGAGTCCCTCTCCATCCTGATAACACACACACGACAAGATTACAGGCAGATCAGCTTCTCAAGAGAGGTCATATTAGGACAAACAACAACTTCATTGTTAGAGCATTAAAAACCTCTTGGATCATTGATAAAGATCCGCGAGTTTAGTAAAGAGCGAGGAGACAGTGGCGCTCAAACATGAAGGTTTCTGCAAACACCGGCGAAGGTGTGTTCATGATTCACAGTGAGGTTTAAAACTAGAAGCTTATTTTGGTTTATTAAAAATGTGCTTAAGACACAGCGACCAGCCGACTCCTCAGAACTCTCTCAGAACAAAGTATTGTATGGTTTCATATATCAACGTATAATTATGTTTCATATGGTGCCATATCTCATCCTGAAACATCAAGAAAGACACGCACATCCCTCAGTGGATGCTGGATCCAAAATACACAACCAGGTAAGGAAAGGGTGTGTGGATGTGGTTTCGCTTTCCTTGCCATATCTCATCCTACCGTATCACATCTCATTGCATCACTTCTTAGCGCATTTTATAGTTTTATTCCCCAAACACTTATTTCTACAGTAAGTTTCCTTGTTACAACTGCTGATTGTCACCAGTTTAAGAACTTTCATTTCTTAACTCATCCCATTTTAGTTGTTCTTGTTGAAACTGGGGTACAGAGGATTTATTAAATCTGCACCTCATGGTCACAGAAACCCTCCAGCAGGAGGAGGAGACGGTTTACACTGACCTGTATACCGTCATGGTGCTGCACAATGTGCTGACCTGCATCCTTAATGAATAACTGGGTTATTCTTTAATAACATTTGGTTTGTGGTGCATTGCTTTAAAAAAGACCTCTCTGTAATGTAGAACACAGGACATGTCGGGTTTAAATATGGATCTGTTCTGTGTTGCAGTGAGAGATGATGACAGCCTGTTGATGGAGCTCTCTGATGATTGGCTCTAAATTACTCATGCTCGGTGTTCATGAACGCAGATTGTCAATTTAGAGACGAAATTAATTAGTTTTTCCAAGTAATCTCCATACTTACAAAATCTTCCCTGACTGACACAGTATAAAAATGTCACGCACATGCATCCTGCTCTGCCCCCCTCCCCCCTCCATCCACCTCTTTCACATGCGCAGTCAGCCTGGTCACATTGGCAACCCCCCCCCTCTCCTCCCCTCCCTCTCCTCCCCGTACCTCCTCCTCCTCTCTGCATACCGTGCAGCTCCACACTCTCGCCATCTCTCTCACCAGCCGCTGCACCGTCTCCTCCACCGGCACCACTTTTCTGACACCAGCCTTTAGGAACACCTCCAGTCATGTGAGTATTCTCATTGTTTTATGATTTCAGATCTCCTTCACCGACGTGAATCGGTGCGGCGCTGCGTGCAGGACGCGTCAGCAGCAATGGATGCTCCGCTGCAGGAATCCATTTGCAATTCACGCCAAGTTCAACCTGTTTTCATGTAACTGCTTGAAACAGCATCACATGAGGTTTCGTGAATGTTGGATGCTCGTTCATGAAGGTGTCGGGGTAGATTACATGATGATTATTTTTCTGATTGCGTGCGTAATGTTTGGATGATTCCTCGCCAGGCGCAGCTCTGCGTCAGGTCCGTTATGTAGCAGACTGATTGTGGTATTTAGTGGCTTTGTTTTAGTTGTATTTCCTGCTTCCAACTTGGCCGCGAGGCAGCTTTTATAATGCTGTAATTTGACACAGACAGGAAACACCGTCTCTGTGAACTCGCCTTGAACCTGAACTCTCCCCCACCTCGGAGCTCGTTTACTTTCGCTCTTTAAAGTCGCTCTTGTCTTATTTTGATCACATCTGAATGTAGGGTAGGGTTAGGGTTTTTAAATGTGGCCTGTTTGTCTCTCAGCATCTCCAAAGTCAAGGTCGCTTTCATGGCTCGTGCAGGCCCGGTGTGTTATGTAACCTTTAGAGAGAGAGAGAGAGAGAGAGAGAGAGAGAGAGAGAGAGAGAGAGAGAAGTGGGGAACAAAAGCAGCTCTCTGCTTGTTAAAATGATAAACAGGCTGTGATGATAACACGCACGCGCGCGCACACACACACGGACTCTGGTCGGTCAGTCATATAATGTGTGATATATTTATGAGGAGGTAAACTGGAGCTTTGTGCTGTACAGGAGCCTCCTTTGTCTCCTGGAGGAGGGCCGAAAGGGGCTCAGTTTATATACAGCCACGAGGTGTGTCCACGAAAACACGCACACACACAAGGACACACACGGACACACACACGCCCCCTCCTTCAGTGTGAGTTTGACCTTGATAGGAGCCTATCTGAAGTGTGTGGCTGTTACAGGACAACATGTGCTCACAGGGCTTTGTTCTATGTGCAAACTGATATCTCATGGTTCTCAACCTGAGGCTCGGGGACCCTCAGAGATCACTTGATGTCCTAAATAAGTAATAACGTCTGTCACCTTATCTGAAGCAGTCCTTTTTTTTCTTTTAAAGTCAGGTTAATGCGGACGTCTTGTTCCCCTCTGCACAGTTTTATTAAGCAGACATTTCTGTTCTTTGGGTTTTAAAGTGTCTGGTTTCGCTCGTCTTTGTGACATTTTTCTCGCCCTGAACGCTTTACTTTGACCTTCATATTTTATGAAATCTTCCTGTTGCTTTGTTCCTTTACTGATAACACATCAGAGCAGGGTTTGAGTTTTCCACTGCACATTAAAAGAACAAAGTAAAACCCTGTCAGGTCAGTGATTTTTGTGTTTGTGTTTGACCTTTATTATGAAAGCGAATTCCTGTTGATGATGAAACTTGTGGAGAGGAAACCACTGGAGGCGAGCGTCTGTCTATCTTTGAGGAAGTTTAAAACATAAAGACTAAATCAACTTGTGACACTTTAACTTGTGACCCCCCCCCCCGTTCTGCTCACAATCTGTTGACATTAAAATCTTTATCAGCAGCTGCTCTTCTTTAAATATATCTTTGTTCAAACACCACAGTGTACATAATCATGATTGCACTGACCTTCTAATATCCTGTTCATTACCTGTCTGCATACAGTCAATCACATAAAGTTTTATGGACACGTTATTCCTCCAGAGACGCAGTGAAAGTCTGCTGAACTGAAATAGACACGACAGATTGTTGGACGCCATAAAAGATCGCTCGGCGGTTTGATACGTGGATTTATTGACCCAGCGGCTCTCAAACTGTTCACAATAAGTCCCACCCCTCTCCCAGTACAACAATTATGGCTAACGTTGAAAAACAGTGTAGGTCTATTTCACTGTTACACAGGAAGCCGTTTTATTCCTGCATGTTATTTATTATTTACCTCACACTGCGGGCCAGCTCGTTCTCTGAGCCACTAAAAGAATCCAGACTTGATGTGACTCCAGTCCTATTTTTTCCGGTTTTAGTCGTGTGTTGCTGAAGCGTCACTGACACCGCTAACGTCGACTCTTGAACGTGTGCTGGGTTCACTGTCGTAGACTTCTAGTATTTCCCGGTTGGAGCTTCCTGGACTGTCATATTTGCTTCCTCAGCTCGCCATCACAGCTTTGCTTATCAACTATTTGATTTGAACATCTTAATTTAAAAAATAAAAAATCAGAGTCTCTCAGAGTACACCCAGAGGGATCCCGCGTACCCCCAGAGGGACTCGCACCACAGTTTGAGAATGAATGTATTACACAGCTCGCTTTAATACCAGATAAAAGAAGACCCGTCTGCTCACTGTTTCTTCTTCTGACAAAGTGCTGTGACGGACAGAAAACGTGTAAAAAGAGAGAAGCAAGAGACGCCAAAGACGGAAGAAAACCAACAACAACAATACAAAACAAACCCAACATCAAGAGAAGTCAAACAACAGCTTTAAGCCAATCATCACGAGACCACCATAAGACCCCCATAAGATCCCCAAAAGATCCCCATAAGACCCCTATAAGAGCATTATAAGACCCTAAGAACCCGACAACACGAGCTGAGACTGAGAGGAGATTAAAGACGATGTAAACAAGTCAAAGAGATTAGAAACAATAAAAAGAGCTACGAGAAAATTAAACCTGATTAAGAAATGAAACTGCTAATAAAAAGAGATAAAGGTTGTAAAATCAAGCATTACTTGAGATTGCTTATGAGAGCACCCAAATATTACGAGCCGCTAAAGGAAATACTACGACTTTAATCTTCATGGCTTCATGTCGTTCGCCGCTCCTCGGCGTCATGCGTCAAACAAGGAAAACACGTTTCCTTGTTTTATGACCTGTAAGGAGGAGAACGAAATGAGAAACACCTGACGTTGTGTTTGTAATAACGATCACTTTCACTTCCCTTCTTCACCTGCCTCACTTCCTTCAGTTCCCGCTCTGGGCCGGCCTACTGCGAGTCGCCAGATGCCTGAGGGATCTCTCGCTGACTTATAGAGCCCTTTATGCTCCCCGTCTCCGTTAGAAGGCACATCAGCAGACTAAAGCCCTGAGTATACTTTTAACTACGTGTACGTATCCTTCCATTCATACACATCGGACATGTGGCTGCAGGAGCTGGGTATCAAACCCCCGACCTTCCAGTTGAGAGATGACCGACTCTACCGCTGATCCACAGTCGCCCCTGTTATATATAAGATAAGATAATCCTTTATTTATCCCACAATGGATTAATACACATTTATATTAATTAAGAACTTTTTATAAGCGCCATGGCTGTGGGTGAGTATGACATCGTGTTGTCATGGTTACAGAGAAGTCACAAAGTGCTGTCGCATTCTGTTTAACCATTCCAAGCCCTCGGTCACTTTCCAGGTGACTTCAGTGAAGTCCCTAAGGGTTAAAGGTTCAGGGTTTAGGTCTCATGAAGAACATCGAGATTCCGACCTGGTTTCTCCTTGTCCTTGATTGGTTGTTGGTTGCACTCCGTCTCTCGTTAGTTAGATTGACCTCACCTGATCACTCCTTACTTAAAGACTGCTCTCCTTTGTGCTCTTATGACCTTCACATGATTAGACAGTTCAGCAGAGATGTTCAACGTCCCATAGTGTGTTTTTGTTCCGCCGTCTATTGAACTCTTTTGACTCGGATTTAAAGAAATAAATCTCGTAACCGTAAGTGAAGTTTCCTGGCTGGATTCACGCATCCTGACCCGTAGCCCACGATGATAGGCGCCCAATAAATATGAACCCTTCTTCACAGTGTTGCCAAAATAATAAATAAATCAAACGCTTCAACGGGCTCTGTGCTTAGGACATGAAGATCACAGACTGTAAATATCAATCGACGAAGCCTGAGTGATGTCACCTGTATGTTCCTGCTGGGGTCGCTGGAGTCCCATCGATGGCTGTCTCAGTCTAACTTTCAGTCAACCTAACTACAGGCTGAGAGCTGGAGCTGAGGCGGGTTTGAAGCCTCCTTGAGCTTCAAGTGAACACTGATGAACTGCAGGATTTCTCACTTCAGCATCCGCTTCAAGTAGCGTTGAAATGAGTTCAAGAACTTTTTCTGCTTCACATTTTACTTTGAAGACTCCTCCTGCCAGACCCCCACAGCGATATCAGTCAGCTGCTGGAGGAAGCTCAAGCTCACGTTAACTGGCATTAATGGAAGTAAGCCGACTCCCGTCCAGAACAGAACAGAACAGAACATCTCTGCAACATTCCTCTAAATTATTTTAAACCCTTCAAACTCAATTTTAAATAAACTCTCACAGATTTCTCTACGTGACACGAGAAGAACGTCGACCTCAGATGAAAACACAATCTTCTTAACTCGACTGTTTGCTTCATCGCTCGTCCATAGGAACACAATATTCCTGTGATAGGTTGTATCGGAGGACGACTGCATCAGCAGTGATAACCACACACACACACACACACACACACACACACACACACACACACACACACACACACACACACACACACACACACATACACACACGCACACTGTGTCTCAGGGATGGATGTGATAAAAACACGTATCCTCATGTATGTTCAGATTATCTTGATGCTGACATGATGTCAGTCAGAGTGACGACGTCTTGATTAAACTTCACTGTTTTAACACAAACTTTCCTTCAGTCAGCCGTCACAGTTCAGAGCTTTAGTTTCAGAGTTTCTCAGTTCTTGACGTTGAACCTCGGACTGTGTCATGATATCTCGTTTTCTGGTTCCCATCCGCTCGTTTGTTACATTATTCCTTGAAGGATGTTCTGTTTTAACTTTGTAATGTCTCCGTAATTCAGCTGCTCGCAAACCAGACGAGGTTGAGTTGTTTTGAAATGTTGGAAGGACATTTGAAGATGTCCCTCCAGACTCGTCTGAGTTTTCTCAGTTTGTTGCAGCCATGTGTTCATTGAGGTTTCTTAAAGCTTAAATATCATGTGGAGTTTTACCTAAAGGTTTGGAGGATGGATGTAACTCCATGATTGGTTTATTGAAATGGGATGGAGATCTGACAGCTTAGTTCCTTATTCATAGGCTGTTCTGAAGAAACATGAATCGCCCTTATTTTTGTCGTTCTTTTCACTTTGGTTTCCGTCTTGCACCGTTTTTTTTTCAAACACGTCTTTGCCTTCAAAATGTCCGGTTTGGATTTCTTCTCCATCTTCATCGAGTGGTTTCATGACTTGTCCCTCCTCCCGTACCTCCTCACCTGACCTCCTCCTCCTCTCTGTCTGCAGCTGCGATCATGTCGTCAGTCCTCCAGAAGCTGATCAGCCCCTTGGCCAGCGCCCCCGCTGAGCCCCCCAGGAACAAGGTGACCGTGGTCGGGGTCGGCCAGGTGGGCATGGCCTGCGCCGTCAGCATCCTGCTGCGGGTAAGACACATTTATACAATCCTATGAGGTTGTGTTCTTAGTGGAGGAAAAGAGAGACGAACACATCCAGCTCTACACACATTTAGATTTACACACATTCATTTATATGACTCTGATATCACCTCTGTGACTCTTTACATGAAAGTCAAAAACATTCTCGGCATCACATTATTATAATGATGAAATGAAAGAGCAAATGTCACGACACAATCCTGAGATGAAGTCAGTCTGACTTGGAAATTAGTATTTGAAATCATATTTGAAACTTAAATCACATTTTTATTTGCAGAATCAAACATCATTGTTGATCATTTTGAACAAAAGGTTGCACGCAAACTCCTGAACTGAACTTTAGTTTCTAAAGGCTTTTTCATTAAAAAGTTAAACTGTGAGGAGTCGTACTTTAAAAATGCATCACTCCTTTGAGAATTAAAAATGATAGGCTGAAATAATGACATTTCTTCTTCTTCCTCCTCCTCTTCCTCCTCCTCCTCCTCCTCTCCTCCTCCTCCTCCTCCTCCTCCCCGGGTCAGGACCTGGCTGATGAGCTGGCTCTGGTGGACGTGATGGAGGATCGTCTGAAGGGGGAGATGATGGACCTGCAGCACGGCAGCCTCTTCCTCAAGACCTCCAAGATCGTGGCTGACAAAGGTGAGGGCACGCCTCTCACGTCAGTTCTTCTTTTAATGAAACATTTCCTCCAAACATCGCCTCACCTCCCCTCCTCCTCTCCTCCTCTCCTCCCCGTACAGACTACTCCGTGACAGCCAACTCTCGCCTGGTCGTGGTGACCGCCGGCGTCCGTCAGCAGGAGGGCGAGAGCCGCCTGAACCTGGTGCAGAGAAACGTCAACGTCTTCAAGTCCATCATCCCTCAGATCATCAAGTACAGCCCCAACTGCACGCTCATCGTCGTCTCTAACCCCGGTGAGTTCACCGACACGGCAGCGTCGTCATCTCTTGTTTTTTCTTGAACCTCACTGACCCCCTGACCCCGCCCCCACCCTCCATCTCCTCACAGTGGACGTGCTGACATACGTGACCTGGAAACTGAGCGGTCTGCCCAAACACCGCGTCATCGGCAGCGGCACCAACCTGGACTCCGCCCGCTTCCGCTACATGATGGCCGAACGCCTCGGCATCCACGCCTCCTCCTTCAACGGCTGGGTGCTGGGCGAGCACGGAGACACCAGCGGTGAGAGCGCATCGCCGTGCAATCATTAAACACTCGTCAGAATGTGGATGTTATCATGAAGTCCAGATGTACAGCAGTATTAATTTTCTGTGTGTGTGTGTGTGTGTGTGTGTGTGTGTGTGTGTGTGTGTGTGTGTGTGTGTGTGTGTGTGTGTGTGTGTGTGTGTGTGTGTGTGTGTGTGTGTGTGTGTGTGTGTGTGTGTGTGTGTGTGTGTGTCTCAGTGCCCGTGTGGAGCGGTGCTAACGTAGCCGGAGTGAACCTGCAGAAGCTGAACCCTGAGATCGGCACCGACGCTGATAAGGAGCAGTGGAAGGCCACACACAAAGCTGTGGTAGACAGGTATGCTGTGTGTGCGTGGTGTGTGTGTGTGTGTGTGTGTGTGTGTGTGTGTGTGTGTGTGTGTGTGTGTGTGAGAGAGAGAGGGAACACTGCCCTGATGTCTCCTCTTCTTGAACATTCATCTCTGTCAACTTAGTAATTCTGAACAAAACCTTATTTTATTAAACTATGAAACTAAAAATGCACCCAGACAACATGATAAGATGATTAGAACAAACTGGACCAGGTTGTTAGACTAAGCAGCAAGATAACTGGGAAGCAAATGTGCAGCATCTCTTGCATGACAGACCGGTACAGCCTCAATTTAGCCAACAAGAATACAGCGGACCCTCTGCACCCTGAGTATTGGAGCGATTGCACCAATTACTGCGCCCCACGTTTCTGTCTCCTGTCTCTTGTTTTGTGTTTTTATGCTCTCGTTGCAAGGCTAATTCCTCTCAGGGAAATGAAGGTTTCGTTTCAGAAAAAGACTTCGAAATATGTCAGTCAACATTTAAAGTTTTAAAAAGCGGCCATCTTGCAGAACACGGGACGATGTTGAACAGAAGTTCACGCTCTCTTGAGCAGGAGTTCTGATTTCACTCCTCTGTCTTCTTCTTCTTCTTCTTCCTCTCTGCAAAGATCGGTACGAGAGTTTCTCTTTTACTTCTGGAGTTGTTCGATATAAAAATCCTTTCTCAGCTTTCTGTCCAACAGGATGACAGAACCCTGAGAACACCAGGGGAAACTTGAACCGTAGAAGCTGAACCTGTCTTGCCAAATGATTATCTAACACTCAGCTCACATGAAGGACTTGTGTTGATTCTCTGGAAAGTTCTGGTCATGTGTCCTCTGCTCAGTTTGCAAACCTTTAAAAGGAGAGAGAGAGGGAGAGAGGAAGGTTTCATTCGTCTCCATAAATAAGTACAAATCCTTTTTATACACATCCTGATGTTATTTACAGAAGTCAGACATTTTGAGGCTTGAGGTCTGTAGTATAGAAGTCCGCTCCCTGCTGAGGCGGTTAATTTTAAGACGCCATTAAACCTTCTGTTAACTGCTTTGGAGCTTGTTTAGTTAGTCGCATAAATCAGAGCTGCTGAGTGGGAGAGAGTCTGAGGTCAGCAGTGATTACAGTTTGAGCTCTCTGTGGGAATGTAACCTCGACATCTGACTCTGTGAACGCTTCATGTACTGACTGACTGTCAGAGCTCAGGATCAGAGCGGAGAGCTGCGGGGGTTGAGCTTTCCTGGAAAACAGGCAAAGGGAAAAAAGCGAGGGTATGAGACGTGCAGGCCTCGTCCTGCAGCCCCTCCCTCTCTGTTCGCCTGACCCTGCAGCACATGCTTCATACACTCCAGCTACATTCTCTGCATACTTCTTCTCCCGTGGAAAATCTGCTTACCCAACCGAATCCACCTCCATACCGCGTGCAGATGTTACAGGAACATATAGAAAAGGCTGAAAAGTCCCAAGTGAAGGTCGATGCAAACATTTCTCAATCGCTGAAACGCTCCAACGATATCGACTCGTCTCATATTTACGTCCAATTTTCCAGCTGATGCTAACGTCAATTGTACAGCACAAATTCATCAAATTCAAATTAAAGGTTAACAGGGTTTCCAGCTGGGGTTGCAGCCTCCTCTGTCCTGTGGGACGTATATGCTGTAAACATTCAGTGTGATCACTCAGTCTGGTCTGGTTTTTTCTTTTTAGGGGTTAAACTTTGATCCTAAACATCGTCCTGTGTGGTCGATCTGTGACGAACATGACGAAAAGATGTTGACAGGTTGTCGCTCGCTGTGTTTCAGTGCGTACGAGGTGATCAAGCTGAAGGGGTACACAAACTGGGCCATCGGTCTGAGCGTGGCCGACCTCACCGAGAGCATCATCAAGAACATGAGCCGAGTCCACCCGGTGTCCACCATGGTCAAGGTGCGGTATACTTTATGTACCCGTTAGTCATCGAGGAGCCTGAATTGAAAAAAGAGATGGGTTTGTGTGTTTCATGGAGCGTCCTCCCCTGACCCTGCGCGTGTTTGTGCTTCCTCAGAACATGTACGGCATCAACGAGGAGGTCTTCCTGTCTCTGCCCTGCGTCCTGAACAGCAGCGGCGTGAACAGCGTGGTCAACATGACGCTGACGGACGACGAGGTGGCTCAGCTGAAGAAGAGCGCCGACACGCTGTGGGGCATCCAGAAGGACCTGAAGGACATCTGAACACACACACACACACACACACACACACACACAGAGGCCTGTCGACACGCACACACTCCCTTTTTTACCGTCCTCTCTCTCAAAGCGTAGCGTGCTGATTTTAAAGGAGTATACCGCTGTTTCTTCACTTTCAAATGATCGGACTGCCCTCACATCTGTCAGTCACACAATGTCGAAAAACCTCCCGGTACGCTCCTTTAAATCAGCAGGTTTTCTCCCTAACAGCTGGTAGGATGAAGTTGCTGTGTTCCTGTGTTTGTGTTAGGAGCTGATGTGTGTTTCTGTACTCCGTCAGGATTCTTGTGTTTCAGCTGTTTGGACCCTAAAAGCAGCCTAAAGTGTCACCGTGCTCCTCCACAACCCTGTAAGCCAATCATGTATCTCCCTGCAGAGAGACAGACACTTTGAATCCTCCCGCCTTTTGCCTTTAAGTGGTTCTGCTTTAACAACACGATGATCAACACTCCTGCTGGTTTTGTGACGGCGGGTGGGGGACGGAGCAGCCAGCGGAGCAGTAACCTTCAGCTCCACTTTATTTTTGTAAAAACTCGATTCTGTCTGACCTCGTGTTGTAGACTGTCTGAAGCAGCAACGTGTAACTTAATAAATCTGAACCTTATGAAGGAAGCACGTGCGTCTGAGTGTTTTTATTTCTACCTGAACAGAATCACGTTCTGTGAATGAAGAGCCGACTCGCTTTACTGGAGTTCAACAAAGAAGCCCTCAGTTTAGAGCTTTAAAAAGCCTCTGCATGTTTCTAATAAGCTCCACGAGCAGAAACGTGCTCAAACTAGGATCAATATTGGAGATGCTTTTGAAAAATGGAGAGAGGTTAGAACACAGAAAGGTTTACAGACCCATGCAGAGCTGGATAAACACTGAAGCTTCAGAGTCCACCACATGGCAACCTGCGTTAGCATGGACTCTAGAGAGGAGGGGGCGAATGTAGAAATCAACTCTTTATTTGTAAAGGGACCATGAATAGTATTTCTAATACATGTTGCAATTTAATGCAACATAGCAGAGTTAGCTTAGAGCTAGTTTACATCTGCAGTCCCACGCCAGGTCACACACACACACACACACACACACACACACACACACACACACACACACACACACACACACACACTTATTTGTCTCCCTTAGATGACATAATTCATAGATTTTTTGACAAAAAATTTAATTTAAAGGACTAAATCTTGCACATTTTTTCTTACATTTTAATGTCAAAACAAGTAATTGATTAATAAAGACAAGAAGTTAAACACTTTAACCCTAAAACAAAAATAAAAAACGCTTTTTATTTTTAAGTTGTTTGTGACATCAAATGAAGCCATAAAACTTTTCAAGTTATTTTTTATACATCGCTTCTCTGTTTTATATTCAGTTATTATTCAGTGGTTTTATAGTTCCACAGTAAAGTATGATTTTTGTTTTAATTCACGTGCTGTGCATGCTTTCGGTTGTTTAGTGGCAGCGCCACCTTGTGGTTGGATGACGTCACTGCAGACAAAAAAATGGACCCTTATTCAACAAAATCAATTTGACTTTGTGATTTTTTAACTTTTTTATTTTATTTTTACGAGACAAATTAATCAAACATGACAACATGAAATTTGAGGTCTTTGTGTTTCTCGATCTTTTATAAATATATATATTTTTAAATATTTTATTTTTATATAAATATTTTTTATGAAACTTGAAATGATTCCCCGAGAGCCAACAAGTGAGTACAAAAAGTTTTATTCATAGAAGCATCACATTATCAGCAGCAGGAAGGCCATTTCCAGCAGACCACCTGTCCTCCTCAGGTGAGTGCACTCATTTGTCTCAGGTGGGCACCTCCAGTTCTCGCGAGAAAAGAGAAAGCGGCGTTAGGTTCCTCGTCCGGGCTCGTTGCACGGCTCTCCGGTAAATGTAGCCGTTGTACCGTTTCCCGAAGCGGAGCCCGAACGGGTTGAAGTTGAACTTGCTCCTCCGGTCGTTGCAGAGGAGCTGCCGCTGCTCCTCGTTCTCCCGCAGAGAGAAGCACGTGCTCGGGTCCTCCTCCGGAAACTCTCCGGTGGACCTCCTGCTGAGAGCGGAGAGGACTGAACCTGAGGAGGAAACCGGAGACAACATTAGAGAAGGTGAGTACATCGAATTCACCTGCAGCCTGCAGCTGGGAGAGAGACAGGTGAGGGACTTTTTAAAAGACGAAGCGCCTGTTGATATTTCTATGGAAGCCGAAAACGATCATCTTCACGTGTTTTTAATGCTGTGATCTTATAAAACAACAAATATTAGTCAAGATCATCCACAGAAAAATGTTCCCCCCCCCCCACACTTTCTTGCTCTCTCTCTCTGATTTCTGGCTCTATCCTCTGTCCTATCTCAAATCATAAAAGTAATCAAAAGCTCAAAAATAAACCTTTAATTATTAATTTAACCTGCATGTGTCTTTCTGTCTTTCTGTTTCAATGTTTTTTTCTGTCAAACGTAAAAATGAAGATGAAAAATAATAGATTAAATACATAAAGCGCCATTCAGGGGACCCGAGGACGTTTTTCAGGTCCATGAGGGGCCAAACAGAGAACACATCTGGGACAGATATCAGGGGATGGGAGAGCGATGGAGAGGCAGAGTTAAGGGAGGAGAGCAGGCAGCGTTTGAGGAGTTTGAGGACGATGTTCTTGGTTGAGATTTGAGTTTTTTTAATCTTTACATCCCTACTTACAAGAGGTCCAAAATGCTGCTGCTAAATTGCTGACGAAATCATCCAGACGGTCTCATGTCTCTTAAGTCTTTGAGGCTCCTCATCAGTTTCAGAATCCAGTTTAAACTTCTTGTTATCGTGTTTAGAGGCGTGCATGGGCGAGCTCCAGCTGCTGAAGCCATATAACACCAGCAGGTCCCAGAGGTCCTCTGACCGGGGTCTGCTGGTTGTTCCTCGCACAAGACTTGGAGGTTATGGCACCTACATTTTGGAGCGGTCTTCCTGCTGATCTGAGAGCCGTGAACGCTATGGACACTTTTTTTTTTTTTTTTTCATCTGTCTGCGTCTAATTTCATTTCTCTGTTTGTAGCGTTTCTGCTCAATCCTTTACTGTGAAGCACTTTGTGACATCTGCTCTATAAATAAACTTTACGTACTTACTCGTTCATTGGTTGATCAAATGTTTTGTGTGTAAAACCACATTAAACAGATAATTAGTAAATTAAATTTACTCGACTAAAATCTTAAAAAGTCTTAAAATATTTAGATTCATGCAAAGAACCAAAAACAGGTTTTTAATCGGGATAATCTGTTGTGACGTCGTCTCTGCTCATCTGCTTACAATCGAGTGATCTAAAAAGGTATTGAAGAGTATTATCTAGGGGCGCTGGAGGCTAAGAGGTTAGTGCACGCGTCCCATGTACGGACACTTCAAGGTTCAAACCTGACCTGTGGCTCCTTTCCCGCATGTCACCCCCCACTCTCACCCAGTTCTAACTCTATCCATCGACCTATCTCTGAAATAAAGGCATGGAAAGCCCCAAAACAAACCTAATATAATAATAAAAATAATAATATTATCTCAAGAGTTTTGTCTCCCAGTTTACTTCATATTGATCTTCCTCCTACCTGTGTCAGGTGTCCTCTGCACAGAGTCGGCTCCCTGCAGAGCTGCTCCTCGTCCATCCTGACCCACGATGAGCCCGCAGACCACCACCAGAGCCGCCAGCCTCATGTCGGATTTTTTAAAAAAGTGTTCCTCCGTCTCAGGGTGTGAAAATTAAAGTGCATGCGCTCGTTCACCTGTTTTATATTTCCACCAGGTGACCCCGTGCTCCTGCTGCTCTCAGCCAATCACGTCCGCCCTGCGTCTCCGTGCGCTAAATTGCGGAGCGTTTTGGAAAAATGCATCATTCATGATCGGCTCTTCTGGGAAAAAGGATGACAGTGACGACTCTGCCTGTGTCGGGGAACATGTGAGTGCATGTCGGTGAATTAATGAAAACGTAAAAAGCAGATAAGTGACTCGAGGCAGCCCGACGTGTAAACACACAGATCAGGCTTCTGATTGGTCACAGAGGCAGAGAGATGGACTGAGATGTGGTAAACTGCTGTTTGATGTATCCCTGCTGCACCGTGCACGGTCGTGTTTGCAGCTGAAGGGAAATGATGCTGTTTATGAAACATTTACAGGATCTGATCGAGGAGAACTCGTAGATATCAGGAGCGTTAGTAATCTTGCGAGAACCCTGACGGTCAAAACTTAACTTGAGTTAAGTTAAGAGACGACAGGATAGAGTGCATATTATCTTTTAAGTCACATCTCTACATCTGTCTGCTGTTCTTTATGTTTTACACAACAACAACATGTCCCTCCTGAATCCAAAATAACTCCCCAAAAAATGTTCTGACCTCTAAACTGGCACAAATGAATGTGAGGGTAACTGAACGCCACATTTAAGATTCATCTAGAAATGTATTGTGAAAAATTCAGACTTTTATGATGTGTTCACAGCAAATGCTCAACTTCTGAATTCATGGTGCAGCCATCCCAAGCGTCAAAGCCCGGGCTGATGATTAAAATCAAACTCAAGGTCGTGATGTCGTCCTGAATATCAGCTCTGCTGTGATTGGGTCTGAAGATAATCACAGTATATAACAGTTACACATGAGCAGGAAATGAAAGGACAAAAGGTAAAAATTGACAACAGATTATTTTTTAATTCCACCAACACAACTTTTCCCATACTTAATCTGAAGCAAGACTGTTGCTAAGCAACCCAACCACCCTGTTCTACTGTTGGGAGAACAGCTCCTTTGTTGGTGTCCATGGTTACCACAGAGCAGCTCTGATGTCCTGTTGCATCACATCTCTTTTAAAGCCAGAGGGCGCCACTGAGCCACAGTTTGTCCATCAAAAGTGATTCTGTAGTCTCTTTTTCCGGTTATTCATACGTTCATCTTCTCCTGGCTTCATGACTGTACTTCGTTGTATACCGGGATGATCCAGTCGTCCCTGTCCCGCCTGCAGCTGGTCCAAAACAATGCAGTCCGGCTGCTGACTGGGTCCAGGAAGAGGGAGCCTATCAGTCCGATCCTAGCGTCACTTCACTGGCTCCCAATACGCTTCAGGGTTAATTAGTTTTTAAAGTCCTGAATGGCTCGGGCCCCCTGCACATCGCCTCAGCTCGTACACTACATCTAGTCCCCTTAGATCCGCCGACATGGGCCTCCTGGTGGTCCATCGCTCACACATCGAGCTCAAAGTCGACCGTGCCTTTGCAGTCAAAGACCCTAAACTGTGGAACAGCCGCTCCCCTTCCATCAAGTCCGCCCCCTTTTGCCTCAAATCGTATTTTTATATGTTAGTGTTTGAGCCCTCTGGTCCTGTATAGGTGGATTACTTATTGATTTCTTTGTTGTGATTTTTGTATATAATCGTTGTAAACTAATGTTTGTTGTTTCTTTAGTGCTGCTGCTGTTTTTAAATGTGCTTTATAAATAAATATGACTACCCTTTGTCCTCGTGTGCAGACCTGCTTTCATTCTTCAACATTTCACAATCCCACCGAGTTCATCACACACAACTCCAGTAAACCTTTAACCCTGACGTGTGTGTGTGTGTGTGCGTGCGTGCGTGCGTGCGTGC